GTGTATTATTTCACAGAAAAAAGCCAGCAAAACATTGTACTGGCCATACTGTATACACAGTATTTTAGCAATTTTATTAGGCCATATTTTGAAAAGGAAAGGCACCATTCAGCTTTTAATCAAGAAATATTAGAGTGTAGTTATTTTACAGAAAGAAGCCAGTAAAATATTGGACTGACTTCATACACAGTATTCAATCACTTTCACCAAGCCAGATTTTGAAAAGGAGAGACATTAGGCAGCCTTTAACCGCCTCCCAGCCGGCCGTTGTAGAAATACAGCCTGCTGGGAGCTTCCTAGATCTGATCATGTGTCCCCTCCTCTGCGCCCCCCCTCCCGCTGTGCTGCTGGTCCCGGGCTCGGCTGTGCCCGGTGCGAGCATGGGGCCAGCATGGTGGCTGTGTGAGAGGGGATCAGAGGGAGATCACTACCCGTGCTCCCTCTGCCTATGTGAAAGCACTCTGTACAAAAACATTGTACTGACTCCATGCACAGTATGTAAGTACATCGAGGTGGTATAGCAGCAACTTTCTCTACCTGCAAATATTCTATGATCTATCCCCATCTACTCCAGGTCTTTCCAACACACACTGACAAAAGGCTCCTGGGAACCCTGACAATTATAGGGAGGAGGCAGGGACATTAGAAAAGCCCTATAATTAGCCCTTCCAAGTCTGCCTCCTGACCAGCCACCTGACCATAGGTCAGAGGAAGGGAATACACTTCTAGGAAGTGCATTACTGAAAATTGATAGCTATAGATGCGAACAGCCACAGTAGTTCACCATTTTGTCCAAAATGGCAATTTAGGATTGACCCAAACATAAAGCTCATTCCTAAACTAAAAAAAATGTTTATATTTAATATTCCCATGGCAGTGGATAGAAATATATACAAAAGTAACACAAAAAAAGCAAGAAATAAAATGGCACATGGACACATTGGCTATCTGCTATAAAATAAACAGGATAAACAGAAATAAACTTTACCATTTGATCAGTATCATTTTATCCTGTTGGCAAAGGACTGCTGCCTTCCCTGATGATTTAGTATTAAATGAGGAGTAGCTGGACACTGCCAGGTTGATATTTGTTCGTATATTTACAAACCAAGCTGAAACCTGCTTTTAGGTTACAACACAGACTTTGGAAACAGAGCATATAACTTGCTACCCCATGCTGTGTCCACTTCCTAGGCCTGTAACAGCCTGTTTTCTCTCAAAAAGAGCAAATTGCTTGCTAAGAGGGTACCTGTTCATTGTCAGAATCTCATCTAGCCGAAAATGTCACTGCTTTAGGGGATACCTTACCTAGGAAAAAACAGTTTGCTCTTTTTATCTATGTTCAAAAGTAAAAAGATTTTACACCTCACCAACCAAATGTTTTTATTTCTTGTGACCATTAAGCAACTGTAAGCTACAGCCTTCATAGAGCTTTCTGCATACAAGCCCTACATAGTTAGAATATGGTTAGGAGTTTTAGTAATCACAGAACAAATCATAAATTGATTCCACACTATAAAAAAACCTATGTCAGTAACTTGCAATGTAAGTGACTGTAATCTGTTTATCAGACCTTCCTGTTGCTCCATAGTCGAAGCAAAACCCAACACTCCCCTAGTAGAAAAACCGTTTAGCATGCTAGCTATTAAATTAAAAATAATTATGACTTTATATTAAGCTTTTGCCTTTCACAGGGAATGTGGGGGACATGTGGATTTTTAAATGGAAATACCATGTTCCTCTCTTATATGTCATTTACAGTTAGCTACATTGCTCTCCTACCAACATCTGACCTTCACTGCCAAATATCCCTTCAAAGTCTTTTTTCTGTTTATCCAGCTGCCTGCTTTGGAAAGATTACCCAGTCCTCTTTTAGGACTTTTCCATTGGCTTCTAGCAAACAGAATGTGGGATTAGAAGAATGGCTACTTGCCTTGCAATGTGTGATCCAGACACCCAGTGTTTATAGAATAGTTGGTTACAGTTAGAAAGTCAGTCACTGATGCAAACAATAAAATCCACAGTGTTTTTTTAATTTCCTTCTTATTTGTAAAGTACTTGACTTTAGGACTAAAATAGCGCACTATGTCATTACCAAATTATTAACATAAATATTTTATTAGTTAAATAGTAAATTTAGAAAACAACAGCTTGCAGTACATATACTTTATTTCTGAAATCTATAAACACTCTAGCTCTCTATATACACTATGGGGTCTATTCACGAAGCTGCCGAAGGATCTAGACGTAGCTTCAGCCGATCCTCCGGCTAGCTTCGGCCCCAGGACCCCTTCAGTTCAGTAGAACTGAAGGGGTGCTGTACGGGCTATTCACAATAGCCTGCTTCTGACAGCTGGGCGGAGCCAGCCGTGATCTTACGGCTGGCTCCAGCCACTTGCAGAGAGATCAGCGCCCCTGGTTATATGCTAACCAGGGACACTGATCTCCAGACAGCAAACTCTCCCTGGCGCCCCGGGAGTCTCCTGCTCCTGGCTGCCAAGGAGAGAAACACTGTTTCTTTTTTTTTCTTTATTCTGAAATGTAGCGATGTCAGAATAGAAAAAAAAAAAAATCCCATTGGAATGCATTGCTACATTCCTATTGGCTATTTCAATTTGAAATAGCCAATAGTAAACTAGCATTGTACCCGCCCTCTGCTGCAATTCTCCATCAGATCAATCAGCAGAGGGCCGGTACAATGCTAGTTTACTATTGGCTATTGCAAATTGAAATAGCCAATAGGAATGTAGCAATGCATTTTTTTTCTATTCTGACATCTCTCCGTGTCAGAATAAAGAAAAAAAAAGAAACATCAGTGTTTCTCTCCTGGGCGGCCGGGAGTGGGAGGCTCCCAGAGCGCCCGGGAGAGTTTTTTTTGCTTGATTTTTTTGCTCGTTTTTTTTACGGCATCAGAGCCGCCGGACAATAGGACACTATTGGGCGGAGCTAGCTGTCACTGCTAGCTCTGCACAATCGTTTTCTATTTACTTTTTTAAAACTTTTTAAACAATTTTTCTGTTCTGCTCGGTCCCTCTGAGGCA